CCGCTCGCACACAAGGGGCCGATGTGGAGTGGGCGCTAGGTCAGACCGTGGCGCGGCTGCGGCCTCCTGCGCCACGCTCGGCGGCTGTAGCGGTGAGCGGATGGAGTGATTTGTCTAGTGCATCCTTACTCCCCTGGTGGGGAGAGAGGTCATGAGTCGGTGCCGCGATGTGGAGCTCTCCGCCTGTAGAATGGCAGTGCTTCCCACCAGTGCCTGGAGGTTCCGATGGATCACCTGTTCCTAGGGGTCGTTTGGCTTGGGAAGGCCGCGCAGAAGCATTGCCGCGGCGATGATGTTCTGGCCAGCCCAAGTGAATTGTGGGGGATCGTTCCCCCCGTCCATGATGTTGCGCTGGACCTGGCGAGCGCGACCTCGGGCGCCGCTCGCTGGGTTATGCGCACGGGGCGCAGCGTGGTGCGCCGAGCGCACCGGCGCAGGTGGTGGCTGGTTCTGCCACTGTTGTCGTAGCTCCTCGCTGTGCTTTTTGTGCGAGCGCGAGGGCCCCCGCACGAGGGTCTAGAGGGGTGTGAGTTTGCAAGGACTCCGCTACCACCGGCGGCTGTCCTGGACCGTCTGCCATAGCGCACTCCCGGGACGGACGGTGGCTAGGTGCCATGTCGCCGATGCTGGAGCTGTCACTCTCAACCTCGTCATCTATGAGTTCGTAGAAACAGGTGGGAGCGTAGCTCGCCATCCCCATGAATTTGAATATGAGAGGAGGTGGCGTCAGCATCTTTCGGAGCCCCCGGGCGTACGCGTCCGCGGGGGACACAAGGCCGTAGGGGGATCGGTCGAATGGCGGTTGCGGTAGGAATAGCAGGGTCCCTCCGGAGGATCGGCAGAAGATAGTAAATAGCGAGTAAATAACAGCATGTACATTACTCACAACGGGGTTTGAGTAGAGCGTTTGCTCGGAATGAAGCGCAGGCGCCTCGTCGTTGAAGTCATCGTGTGTCCCGGAGCCGATGGAGGGCGCCCCTCCGACGGGCGCCGGAACAAGTGTCTCCTCGCGGAGGTGTAGTACGTCGAGCCGGTCGGCGACGAAGTCTAGGCTTCCGAAGAGGAAGGCCTGGGACGGCTCAAAGACGGGTGGAACCCACGTCCCAATAGGTGGGAGTGCGGGAAACTCCAACAAGCCGAAGCGAGTCATATCGCTTGAGCCCGCCATGGCGGAGATGGTGGAAAGATGGGCCATCTGATGACCAAAAGTGTGAACGTACAGCGTCTTCCCCACGGACGGCGCCAACTGTCGGTGCAGAAAGTGACCAACACGTAAATATTTGTAGTTTTGCCGTACGTTGTGATTGGATGTGGCCTAGCACTCAATGACACAGGGTTTATACTGGTTCAGGCAACGTGCCCTACGTCCAGTTTGAGTCAGTCGGTGACTTTATTCCTGAGCCCAGGTGCTCAAAGTTTGCTGTGGGGTTACAAACGGAAGGGAGAAAGATGGGGGGCACAAGAGGTCCGGTCGGACTCTGGTCTAAAGGGCCAAGAGTGACGGGAGCTCCGCTATATGCTAAGTGCTCGAATGTTTGTTGTTCGCTGGGATCCTTGGTCGTTCGGATCGTGTGTGTTGTTCGAGTTGTTGGGGACTGATCCTCTTCTTTTGGGGGAAAGCGCATCCCCTTTTATAGATGAAGGGGATGGCCTTACAAGAGAGAGAGAGAGAGTGTGTGTGTGTGTGTATGCTAAGTCTTGTTGCCCACGCCGTCGAGAACAAGATGATTGTAGGCACCCATAACACTGTTAATGTCAGATGCATGTGGGAGGTTGCGTCGTCCTCTTCTGATTTGGCAGATGTCGGTGCCTGCCATACTATTGATGTCCAGAGGCATGTAGGGGGTTTTACTATGTTCGCCTGGTATGGTAAATGCCGGCGCCCACAATACTGTTGATGCCCAGAGGCATGTGGGGGTAGCCAGGCTTGTCTGGTATGGGAGTTGATGGCGCCCACAACACTTTAGGGCAAATGTCGGCGCCCACAACACTACTTGGGTTCTGACATGCAAGAAGGTTGCAGGGTACCCTTCTGACATGCCCTGTTGGTACTATCCTGCAGGTGTACAGGGTACGGTCCTTGGTATCACGGTTGACTTGAGTGCCCTACCTTACTTTCTCTGTCCGTTTCCTAGTCCTTACCGAGTGGGCGTCCCCGGTCAGTTGGCTCCAGTCGGCTCTGATTGCGCTAGTCGGAGAAGAGCTGTAAGCAGGGGTTTGGTGCATCCCCGGTCAGAGACGCGGGTCGGAGTCGAAAGTGGTGTTTGGCCAGGCCTTCCGGTAGGAGAGGCCATCCGGAGGCGGGCCGGAATCGGAAGCGAGTGTTGTTCCTCCTTAGCGAGGCCTTACGGTCGGAAGTAGGCGCCGTTTCTCCTCGGCCAGGCCTTCCGGTCGGAGATTGAATCGCCCTTCTGGCCTGTCGTTTTAGGTATTTGGGCCAGCCCAGGAGGTGTGCGTCGTTCGCAACATTGTCTGCTGGGCCGAGCCTTTGTTGGGAAGCCGGTCTATGAGGGACCCTGGGTTTATGAACCCGACACCCGTTGATTGGGACAACCACGTTTTTGAAGGCGATCCGAAGTCCAAAGGCGATTTTGGAAAGCAAACCATGCAAAGAATTTGCATTTGGGAGGAGCCCAAGTGTGCCAAATGAGCTTGTCGTGGTCAGTGGAAATGGAGCCCAAGAATTGAGTCAAGTACGCCGAACGTGCTAAGTACTCACCGGAAGCACAGAACCGCCAAGTGATCTGATCATGTAAATTTGGGTCAAGGTGAGTATTACGGACCTTCTCCCAAAGCCTCACAAACTGGGAAATTTGGAGAGCGGAGTTTATGTGTACGCACGTTCAAGTCCCGGACTCAGGCATTTCCAGCGACAGCCTGCTGTACTGTCCTATTCTTTTTCTTGCTCAAGGCAAAAATCGTGGGGGCCTAGTCCTTCGGACAAATCCCATCCAACCATGCAGAGTGCCAAAACAAGGCCTTTAATCCATTTTCAATTGTAATTTTGGTCTCCGCATTGAAAAGCTTTCTATCTGTATTGGTGCAAGGGATCTCCATCCCAACCCAAGGCTTATTTTCGGACTTCCATGATTGCCATAGCCAACGCAGCTGCAACGCCGTGAAAATTTATAGATATCAAGCACTCCAAGACCACCTAATTTTGTTGGTCGGTGCATCTGTTTCCAAGCCACTTTGCATTTCCCTCCAGCTAGCCGTGTTCCGCCCGTCCACCGGAAGCAGCGCTGTTTAGCGTCCAGATCCTTCAGGATTCCTTTAGGAGGTCTAAGTGATGTAAGGAAGTAGATCGGCTGTGCCGACAACACTGACTTGACAAGCGTCGTGCGTCTGGATGTTGTGAGAAACCTATTCCCTGCCAATGCGCCAACTTGGTGGAAGCTTTGTCCAGTAGGGGCTGGCAATCGACCTTTCTTAAACGCGTCAAGGTTAAAGGCAGTCCCAGGTACGTTAATGGGAATGAAGCACGTGCAGCCGGGAAGTTGTCCAGAATCTGGTTCAAATTGAGTCCTCTACAGCGAATCGGTACGACTAAGTTTTTCTCAAGATTTGTGGATAAACCAGTGGTTGTGCCAAAAAGCTCCAAGAGTGCTCTCAGGTTTCTGACATCTTGAGGTGTTTGTTTGTAAATCTAGTCAGATATAGGATTGTTTTGTTAGGATTGATCTCCCACTGGCCTAACTGGGCCTTGTCCTCGCGCCCTGATCGGGGGCGCCCAACCCTACATGGTTGGTGGGCCCCCGTCGCACAGCGCTATAAAGGAAAGGTGGAGGCCGGGGCTCGCGGTATGAGGTTCACCGCGCCGCCAGTCACCCCACCGATATCCTATCCCTAGACCCGATCTTGAGAAGGGGCGCTGCCAGCGACGGAAAGCACCACCGACGCCGGCAACGCCACCCGACGCGCACGCCGCCACTGAGGACGCCACAGCGCCGACTCCCTCTCCACCGAACGTCGCTGCCGGCGCGCAGATGGCGTCCGTCAATGAAACCCCGGCCGGAGCTTCGACAACTACGGCATTTGATGGTTTGCAACCTATCACCCATTTCTCTCTGTCTCTCTGTGATCCCGAACATCTATTACTACTATGCTAAGTATCCCGATCTGATGAATATACCTAAAACGAAACCTAACATGTTTGACTACTGGCGAAGCAAGACTTTCGTTTACGTAAAATGCTTATTGATAGATTTTTTCTCCGAGAAAACTTATGTGGACACGATGATGTGTCCCATGTCGCCTACAATAAGAAATAGGATAACTATGTATTGCGTAGGGTATCCTAGAGACAAGTTTTGAAATCTGTATGAGCAATTAGAGTTCATCTCGCCATATTGTTACATGGGATTTTTCTTTCACTTCTCCGACAAAGATTATTAAGATAGAAGAAGATGAAAGATTATCACGTGATGCACACAATAACTCCTTCTGATGTGTTCACGTGATGTACAGCTCCTTGTTGCAATAAGAAATTGCACTATTATTCATCACAAGCACTAACACAGAGTATAAAAACCTCCAAAACCGCAACTCTCAGCTCGGGGCGTAAGATCTAAGTTGCTGCACAAATTCATCGATGTACCTTTCCTGGAGCTTCTTATCAGCTACAACCTCTTGCAATTTCATGGCGTTTGCTAGAAAGACCCTCCTGGTATCTTCTTCAACCATCACGGCCCGCACTGTGTCGGCAATCCCCTGGCGGTCGAAAGACCCATCGTCTTCATCCCTTGGAACCGGCAACCCGACATTCCTCCCCGCCATGAGACGTGCATTTGGACCTTGGTCGGCGAAGATGGGCAGCATGATCAGAGGGTTCCCATACTGAAGCCCTTCCGCAAGCGAGTTCCGTCCACAGTGCGTTAAGAACGCGCCCACGGCACCGTGCGCCAGTATGGTATTCTGCGGCACCCAGCTCGTGGTCACCAGGCCATGGACGTGCGTGGGCTCCTCGAAGCCCGGAGCTGCCGTGGCTAGCGTTCGGCCACATGCTCACGTACCTGCAGCTCGCCGAGCGCCTGGCGTCGCGGGGCCACCGCGTGTCCTACGTCTCCATGCCTAGGAACCTCGCGCGCCTCCCGCCACGGCGCCACGCCGTGGACCTCGTGGCGCTCCAGCTCCCGCAAGTGCAGGGCCTCCCCGAGGGCGCCGAGTCCACCAACGACGTCCCCGGCGACAGGCTCGAGCCACTGTGGGAGGCGTTCGACGTCCTCGCCGCGCCGTTCGCGGAGTTCCTGAGCGCCGCGTGCGCCGACGAGGTGAACCGGCGGCTGGACTGGGTGATGGTCGACACGTTACACGACTGGGCACCCTCTGTCCCCGCGGCTCACAAGGTGCCGTGCGCGATGCTCCAGCCCAGCGCGGCCACGATAGCAGCATGGGCGTGCGGGGCGCGGGACCGCGCACAGCTCGCCGCGGCCTCCATATTCGAGCAGCTCACCACCGTGGAAGAGCCACCGGCTGGCGTGCCGCGCCACGAGTGGGATGGGGAAAGGCGTTGTTCACACCTGTGGGCAGGTCAGGTATGTCGATCGCCTGGCGCATCACCATGACGCTCGAGGGGGGCGCGATCACCGCCATGCGGAGCTGCCCCGAGTGGGAGCCCCACGCCTTCTCGCATGCGGCTGCGCTCCTCGGCAAGCCACTCGTCCCACTCGTCCTCCTGCCGCCGTCGCCGGATGGAGGACGTGGCGCTGGCATGAACAGAGACGACGCCACCGTGCGGTGGCTAGACGCACAACCACCCAAGTCGGTCGTGTACGTCGCGCTGGGCAGCTAGATGCCGCTGCGCGTGGAGCTGGTCCACGAGCTGGCTCATGGGCTCGAGCTCGCCGGAACGCGATTCCTCTGGGCGCTGAGGAAGCCCAGGGGCCTTCCTGACGCTGATGTCCTCCCTCCGGGCTTCCAGGAGCGGACACACGGCCTTGGCATGGTGACCACGAGCTGGGTGCCGCAGAACACCATACTGGCGCAAGGTGCCGTCGGCGCGTTCTTGACGCACTGTGGACGGAACTCGCTTACCGAAGGGCTTCTGTATGGGCACCCTCTGATCATGCTGCCAATCTTCGCCGACCAAGGTCCAAATGCGCGTCTCATGGCAGGGAGGAAGGTAGGGTTGCCGGTTCCGAGGGATGAAGACGATGGGTCTTTCAATCGCCAGGGGATTGCCGACACAGTGCGGGCCGTGATGGTTGAAGAAGATACCAGGAAGGTCTTTCTAGCAAACGCCACGAAGTTGCAAGAGGTTGTCGCTGATAAGGAGCTCCAGGAGAGGTACATCGATGAATTTGTGCAGCGACTTAGATCTTACACCCCATGCTAAGACTTGGTTTTGGATGTTTTTAAATCCTGCTAGTGGTTGTTGGCTTGTTGCGAATAAACTATGGATGGCAAGATCATTGTCTATCCAATAAGAAATTGCATTATTGTTAGTGGTGGTTGCTGGCCAGACCCCCAAATTCCATTTTGGTGAGGGTTCGCTCAATTCCAATCTGGTGAACAATGCTCCCCTCCACACACGCTTTTTTCATGGCTGTGATGTCACTAAAATAAAAAAAAATCAAAATGTTATAACTTCTGAATGATATATCTATTTTCAATTACATCCGCACCGGTGTGTTTTACACTATAAGACGAACAAAACTAAATCCTACTTACATATGTTTCGAAGAATTTTTTGTAGTAATTTATGTGTATTAACTTATAACTTGTAACTTATGCACAGTTGTATTGAACAACTTATATACACAACTTGTATTGAATAACTTATCCATATAAATTTAGAAATTATTATGCAGTGTGCTGCACTCCAAATTAACACAACTGTCTGTCGTCCCGTTTGGGCCTTTTTAGCTACGACGAGAGCACGCCTGGCCAGGGAAAAAATTTCTGTGCAGTCGTGCTGTACCAAGACCCACGTGCAGCACCTACCGCAGGCCATCCACATACCCTTGTGTATGGATGAAAACGGTACGGATATTTATTCGACCGTCCGTTCGACCGAACAAATATGAACACTTATTCGGATAGTTACTCGGATATCCGGTTTTTTTTTCGGATACGGATACTAAAACGGATATCTTAGGCGGATATCAAATACGGATGTAATATCATCGATATCCGGCGGATATCGGATAATCCGGATAAGTATCGGATATATCCGGATATTTAAAAACGGATATTATCCGGATATTTATTCAAAATTTAAAAATCACAAATTTGAACCATCCAAACTATCTCAAATGGAAAGTTGACCAAAACAACAATTGTTGATCTTGATGAGTTGAACAAACTTGGTATTCAAAACTTTTCAATTTGAAGTCATTTAGAGTTCATAATACTAGAGTCAAAGTGTTGTTTTTTCATTTGACCAAATTTGACTTGGTCAAACTTGCTCAAATAAGACACTAAATGACCTCAGATGAAAAAACTTTGAATACCAAGTTTGATCATCTCAGCAAGATCTACAATTGTTACATAGCTCATTTTCCCATTTGAGAAAGTTTTATCAAACACTAGTCATAAATTCTTGAATCTCATATAGACTTTCTGAAACTATGTCACACACTTGTGAAATTTGAACTATATTTTATTCAAACTTTCTCAAATGAAAAAATGGCCTATATAAGGATTGTATATCTTGATGAGATGAACAAATTTGGTATTCAAAACTTTTCAATTTGAGACAATCTAGGGTTCCGAAAACTAGTTTGTAAACGTCGAAATTTAAAAATCACAAATTTGAACCGTCCAAACTATCTCAAATGGAAAGTTGACCAAAACAAAAATTGTAGATATTGATGAGTTGAACAAACTTGGTATTCAAAACTTTTCAATTTGAAGTCATTTAGAGTTCATAATACTAGAGTCAAAGTGTTGTTTTTTCATTTGACCAAATTTGACTTGGTCAAACTTGCTCAAATGAGACACTAAATGACCTCAGATGAAAAAACTCTGAATACCAAGTTTGATCATATCAGCAAGATATACAATTGTTAGATAGCTCATTTTCCCATTTGAGAAAGTTTTATCAAACACTAGTCATAAATTCTTGAATCTCATATAGACTTTCTGAAACTATGTCACACACTTGTGAAATTTGAACTACATTTTGTTCAAACTTTCTCAAATGAAAAAATAGCCTATATAAGGATTGTAGATCTTGATGAGCTGAACAAACTTGGTATTCAAAACTTTTCAATTTGAGACAATCTAGGGTTCCGAAAACTAGTTTGTAAGCATCGAAATTTAAAAATCACAAATTTGAACCGTCCAAACTATCTCAAATGGAAAGTTGACCAAAACAATAATTGTAGATCTTGATGAGTTGAACAAACTTGGTATTCAAAACTTTTCAATTTGAAGTCATTTAGAGTTCATAATACTAGAGTCAAAGTGTTGTTTTTTTCATTTGACCAAATTTGACTTGGTCAAACTTGCTCAAATGAGACACTAAATGACCTCAGATGAAAAACTCTGAATACCAAGTTTGATCATCTCAGCAAGATCTACAATTTTACATAGCTCATTTTCCCATTTGAGAAAGTTTTATCAAACACTAGTCACAAATTCTTGAATCTCATATAGACTTTATGAAACTATGTCACACACTTGTGAAATTTGAACTACATTTTGTTCAAACTTTCTCAAATGAAAAAATAGCCTATATAAGGATTGTAGATCTTGATGAGCTGAACAAACTTGGTATTCAAAACTTTTCAATTTGAGACAATCTAGGGTTAGAAAACTAGTTTGTAAGCATCGAAATTTAAAAATCACAAATTTGAACCGTCCAAACTATCTCAAATGGAAAGTTGACCAAAACAAGAATTATAGATCTTGATGAGTTGAATAAACTTGGTATTCAAAACTTTTCAATTTGAAGTCATTTAGAGTTCATAATACTAGAGTCAAAGTGTTGTTTTTCATTTGACCAAATTTGACTTGGTCAAACTTGCTCAAATGAGACACTAAATGACCTCAGATGAAAAAACTCTGAATACCAAGTTTGATCATCTCAGCAAGATCTACAATTTTTACATAGCTCATTTTCCCATTTGAGAAAGTTTTATCAAACACTAGTCACAAATTCTTGAATCTCATATAGACTTTCTGAAACTATGTCACACACTTGTGAAATTTGAACTACATTTTGTTCAAACTTTCTCAAATGAAAAATCGCCTATATAAGGATTGTAGATCTTGATGAGCTGAACAAACTTGGTATTCAAAACTTTTCAATTTGAGACAATCTAGGGTTAGAAAACTAGTTTGTAAGCATCGAAATTTAAAAATCACAAATTTGAACCGTCCAAACTATCTCAAATGGAAAGTTGACCAAAACAAGAATTGTAGATCTTGATGAGTTGAACAAACTTGGTATTCAAAACTTTTCAATTTGAAGTCATTTAGAGTTCATAATACTAGAGTCAAAGTGTTGTTTTTTCATTTGACCAAATTTGACTTAGTCAAACTTGCTCAAATGAGACACTAAATGACCTCAGATGAAAAAACTCTGAATACCAAGTTTGATCATCTCAGCAAGATATACAATTGTTACATAGCTCATTTTCCCATTTGAGAAAGTTTTATCAAACACTAGTCACAAATTCTTAAATCTCATCTGAGACTTTTACGAAACTATGTCACACACTTGTGAAATTTGAACTACATTTTGTTCAAACTTTCTCAAAATGAAAAAATGACCTATATAAGGATTGTAGATCTTGAATCCATGACCATGACTCCATGAGACCCATGAAGCAATGTGCTTGGCTATTTCTACTCATGCCGCGAAGATTAGTGCTTATATGATGTTTGATGTATGATGTATCTGTATCTTTATCTTATTTGTTGCTTTACTCTTTAGTCTTTCGGCTTAATCTAGATGGATTATGGACTCATAGAGTGGTGTAATGGTTTTGCATACGTATGATATATATATATATATATATATATATATATATATATATATATATATATATATATATATATACTTGCTTTTACTCAATATCCGAATAGATATTTGTATCCGACCTTCTCCGAATCCGATTCATACCGTATTCGATACTCATTATTCGTATCCGTAACCGAGTCAATCCGTATTCGTATATGTATCCGAACGCTATCCGTGTCCGAATCCGAATCCGAACAGAAATATGAAAACAAATATAATATGAGTGATATCCGTTCGTATCCGATCCGTTTTCATCCCTACCCTTGTGTGATGCTTAGCCCACCAGCCACGCCTGACGGAACGTGCGGCCCGCGCACGCAAGGATGAGGACCATCGATGAGGATGAATCGACGGCAACAAGGCCGTGCTGCACAGGCATAAATTTTTTTTCCCCTGGCCGGGCGACGGGCGTAGTGCTACCTCTACGCGTCGAGTCGATTGGTTGTCACAGATACTCATCCACCTCACCATGGATGCCGGGTCGCCGCCGCTGCACATTGTGATCTGCCCGTGGCTCTCCAGGTTTGCCCGTGGCTCTGCGTTCTGGCTAAACTCTGACGCACCCTTGTTTTCCGCCCATGCCGCGACGGGTCTGTCGGTCGCCCGGCGCATCACCTTGATGCTCGAGAGGTGTACGATCGTGGCCATGCGGTCTTCTCGCATGCTGCTGCGCTCCTCGGCAAGCCGTTCGTCCCACTCGGCCTCCTACCGCAGTCGCCGGATGGAGGCCATGGCGCCAGCATGAACAGAGACGACGCCACCGTGCGGTGGCTAGACGCACAGCCATCCAAGTCGGTCATGTACGTCGCGCTGGGCAGCCAGGTGCCGCTGCGCGTGGAGCTGGTGCACGAGATGGCTCTTGGGCTGGAGTTGGCTGGAACCCTGGTTTTAAATAGCGGGCTACAGAGCTGCCGGAGACAGACCACGCTAAGCTATTGTCACTTTTACCGCTATGTCAACTACGACCGCTATATTGCACTATAGCGCCGCTAAATTGCTTAGCTACATTGAAATAGCGCCGCTATTTCAATTTCACCTATAATAGTGACAATCTAATTATTACCTACTTAAATTTTGTTTTAAAGTTGGTATTTAGCAAAATTGAACACTTGAGTTTGATGAATCATGCTCTAAAATCATATTAAGTATTGTTTCCTACACCCCCCTAGAACCTTAAAAAGATATCTGTGTTCAACAAATTTCATGATTGTCATGTTTTTATGAATCAATTACTCATATTTTTTTGATTTTCTTATAAACCGCTATCTGGCATAGCTTAGCCTCTAGAAAAAAGATGTCACTATTTGCTATAGCCCGCTCCTCTAGGCGCTGAGGAAACCCAGTGGTGTCCCAGACTCGGACGTTCTCCCACCCGGCTTCCAAGAACGCACCCATGGCAAAGGGATGGTCACCATGGGGTGGATTCCTCAAATCATCATACTGGCGTACGGCGCGGTAGGCGCGTTCTTGACGCATTGTGGCGCTGAACCCTCTCATCATGTTGCCCATCTTCGCCGACCAAGGGCCGAACGCAAGGCTCATGGAGGGGAGGGAGGTCGGGTTGCAGGTGGCAAGTTATGAGAACGACGGGTCCTTTTGACCGCCATGGCATTGCAAGTGCGTCATGGTAGAGGAAGATTCCAAGAGGGTCTTTAGAGAAAATGCGCTGAAGATGCAAGAGATTGTAGCCGATAAAGAGCTTCATGAGAGGTACATTGACAAGTTTATTGAGCAGCTTAGATCTTACACAAGTAGTGATGGCAAGTCTACTGCTGCCC